CTCAAAAAAAGAATGCAATATAAGGATGATAAAAAATAGTAATATGGGCATAGAAAGAATGAAATAAAATTGATTGATTACTGAAGACAAAGAAGAGAAAGGGGATAAAGAATAAAAAAAAGATTTTTGAACTACTAAAAGCCAAATGGGTCCGTCATGAGATAGAGATTTTTGATCAAAAATTGAAAGATTTAAAAGGACAAGATTACTGGAAGCTGCTTTTAAAGTTTGAAAGAATTGAACCAAAAGTTGAATTAACTTGGATGAAAAGGCATGATATAATTCGTTGACGGCATCTTTGTTTTTTCATTCATCATAATCATTACACGCATTACATATCTCTTGATAAGTTGCATAGAAGGTTTCTTTATAAGACATTAGGAAGAATCAATATGTTTCTTTTTGGAAACAAAGATGATGGCATTGAAGATGGTATGATAGCACATTTTCTAAAATGAAAATTGTCGATCTATAGGGTACCTAATCCCCTTCAACTCATAACTCAATCTTATATAGGCCCCTGGCTTGCGGTTCAGTCCCAGTCATTTTTAATATTTGGCTCGTGGTTTAATCCCAATCATTTTTTTATTTTCTAACTTGCGGTTCAATCCTAGTCGTCATCAATATTTGGCTCGTGGCTTAATCCCGATTATTTTATTTTTTGACTCGTGGTTAAATCCCGATCTCTTTATCTTTCGATTAGCAGTTCAATCTCGATCTCTTTAATTTAAAATCGTTGTTTAATCTTGATTGTTGTTATCCTTTGACTCGTGGTTTAATCCCGGTTTTCTTATTTTCGAACTTGTGATTCAATCCAAGTTAATGTCATTTTTTGACTTACGGTTTAATCCCAGTCTCTTTATCCTCTGATTCGCGATTCAATCCCGCTCTCTTTAATTCAAAATCGTAGTTTAATCTCGATTGTTGTTATCTTTTGACTCGTGGTCTAATCTCGGTCTTCTTATTTTCGGACTTGTGATTCAATCCAAGTTAACGTCATTTTTTGACTTGCGATTTAATCTCAGTCTCTTTATCCTTCGATTCGTGGTTCAATCCCACTCTCTTTAATTTAAAATCACAGTTTAATCTCAATTGTCATTAACCTCCGACTCATGGTTTATTCCTGGTCATTTTATTTTCTGACTTGTGATTCAATCCAAGTTAACGTCATTTTTTGATTCGCGGTTTAATCCTGGTCTCTTTATTCTTCAATTTATGGTTTAATCTCGATCTATTTATTCTCTGATTCGCGGTTTAATCTTGATCCTTAGTATTTCTCTTACTCATGATTTAATCTCGCTCTCTTCATTTTTGACTGGTGATTTAATCCGAGTTTAATCCTGATCTTGTTATTCCTTGATTCGAGGTCTTGTCTCAATCGATTCTTTACTTTTTGACTTACAATTTAATCCCGATCGCTTTTACTTTTTGACTTGCGGTTTAATCCCAATCATTCCTATAGTTTCTCAACTTGCGGATTAATCACAATCATTTTTATTTCTTCGACTTACGGTTTAATCCCAGTCATTTTTATTTCTCTGACTTGTGATTCAATCCCAGTTGTCGTTAATCTCTGACTTATGGTTTAATCTCGGTCATTCCTATGTTCCTGACTTACGATTTAATCCAAATAGCTTTTATTTAGTTAGTTAGCTTTGGTCAAAATCATTGTTTTTATCTTTGCCCTAATATTGATTTTCAATAATGTACAAAGAGGGGCAGCTGTAGACACCGAATTTTGTTTGGGTCTACATTTTTTATAATCTAAAAAAAATTAATTAATTAAAAAAATAAAATTTTAAATAAAAAAAAGAAAGAAAGACAAATGAAAAATCCAAACATAAGAAACAAAATGGAAAGGGTCGGTGCCAGAGGGTGCCGTGCACAGCACCGCTGGCCACCCACGCCTTGCCATTACCCCAGCCATCATACCACCCCTTCGTCCAGTCCCTTCACTCTATCAGCACATGCTATCACCATTTTCAATCATATAAAACACTCAATTCTCCTTCATTTTAAAGCTAGCTGAAATGCTTGGATATCCCCTCACCAGAACACCAAAAAACATGCACCCCTACCAACAACCTCTCAGACGAAAAAAAACCCAAACAACCCCCCAAATACCCAAACAGAAAAATAAATAGATCTATGAAAATCAACACAAAAAAACCATAAAAACAGAAACCACAATCCTCATCGAATCGACGAGGAACCCAGCGCTAAGGAGATACCTGCAACAAAAAAGAAAGGTTATTAGTTTGAGTTTTTTTCTTTTAAAAAAAGAGAAGAACATAAAACTTCGAACCTCGATCTACATCGATCGGGGTCGTTTCTGACAAAGAAGAGTTCTAATCTGGAAAGATCGCATCGAAAGGAGCTTTCAGGAGGATTTCAAAATTTTTGATCATCAACGACCACCACCAACGGCGACCCACACGACGACCGGCGCAGCATAGGGTGTCGAATTTCGACGGAGGACAGAGAGAACCGAAAGCTTTAAAATTTTTTTTTGGTGAAAATGGCGAAATAGCTGAAAAAAACTAACTTTTATAGAAAACATAGAAGCAAAACGATGTCGTTTTGAGCATAGGGCCAAAATGACACCGTTTCAAGCATAAGAGGATCTACGCATGGACCGAACCCGACCTGAGATCCGCTCAAACCGACCCGTAGACCCACTTCAGCCAACCTCCAGTCGATTCAGACGAACCGCTAGTGAACCGGTTTGAACCGTTCCTCAACCGACTCAACCGAACCGCACACCGAACCGAACCTTTTTCTGTCCAATCGAACCGCGCTTGACTGGACCGACCGGTTCAGGTAAAAAGAATTTGTTTTTTGAATTTTTGAATTTTTTTTATATATTATTATTTTTGTTATTTTAAGTTTTTTTTTTATATATTTATGTATGATAAGTTCTTAAATTTGTTAGGATAAATTTTTAATTGTTTTAATAATAATAAAAATGAAAGTAAGTAAGATAATAATTAAAAATATATATTAAAATACTTAAGATAATAATAATAATAATAATAGAATAATTATTATTATTTTTTCTGCCTAGATGTTGGAGAGAATAAAATATATTCCTAAAAAATAATTCTACCTAGATGTTAGAGAATTATTATTAATAAATTTTCATAAAGAAATATATGAGTTTTTTTGAATTAATCTTCAAAAATCATTAAAATCGAACTTGCTTTGAAAATTCGTCTAGATGTTGAAAATTTTTAGAGATGTTCGTATTTTTTTAAAAATGAAACCTTAAACACTAATTTTTAATTTTCAAAATCTTAGGTTACTAAAAACCCTAAAATTCGTTTCTAAAACCTCTAAAATCCAAAATCCCCTAAAATCCAAAATCCCTAAAATCCAAACCCCTAAAATCCGAAACCCCTAAAATCTAAAATCCCATAAAATTCGAAATCCCAAACCTTTAACTCTTAAATCCAAACCCCTAAAATCTAAAATCCCATAAAATTCGAAATCCCAAACCTTTAACTCTTAAATCCAAACCCCTAAAATTCAAACCCTTAAATCAAAACCCCAAACCTTAAATTTTAAAACTGAAACCCTAAAATCTTCAAACTCTAAAATCAAAACCCTAAACCTTCCATACCTTAAAACCAAACCTTAAAACCCTCAAAACTTAAATCCAAACCCCTTAAAATCTGAATCTTCAAAATCTTGAAACCCTAACCTTGAAAACCTCTACCCAAGCCCTTACTCAAAACGTCCTTAAAATCCTAAGGACACGTGTGAAAATTTCATTTAAAGTAATTTGTTCATGAATGTTGCCTAGATAATGGGGTATTTAAAAAATTTTACTTCGTTAAATCTTTTCACACCATTTCTTAATTCGTATTAGTAATAAGATTAATGAATAAAAAGTATAATAGTAAATTAGGATCTTAAATATAAACAATTGCACCTAAGCTCTGCCTAGATGTTGGAGAGTCGTGGTGGTCTCATTATACTTAAAACCCAACTTTAAAATTACATCTCATTTCACATAACATTTATTGGCATACATCCGTCAGCGTGTTATCATTGGTAATTATTTGCATTATTCTGTTTTTAATTTTCATTTACTATTTGATGATAAAATATTTTATAATAAAAAATAATGCTTAAAATTTTTTTTTGGTGATATTATAAAGCAAAATAAAAATAACATTCCGAAAGAAATAATTATTAGTACTCTACCTAGATATTGGAGAGTCACTAACAATTATTTTCTATAAAGATTATTATTTCATTTTAAGGATTATTGTGTTAAATCTTAAGCAAAAAAAGTTATTTTAAATTTTGCCTAGATGTTGGAGAATTTTAAGATAATTCTTTAACTTAAAGATTTTCTCAATATTTCTAAATAAAAATTTTAGCAAAATTTTATTTTTTCAAATGAAGAAAATTAGTGTTAAATTTCAAATTAAAACCATTTTTATCCAACACCGAAAATAGCGCATAATTAAATGGTACCAATTTATAGACGTTGTGGGGGTGCTAATCCTTCCCCGCACGTAATCGACTCTCGGACTTAATCTATTTTTTTTCGTAGATCAAAATTTATCTTTTTGATAAACTTTAAACCTGTTTTTATAGTTTTATTAAAAAGATAAACTTTTGGATGGTCAATCACACCCTAACAAAAATTGGTGGCAACTCCCCATTTACTTCGATTTTAAAACTCTTTCATGTCTGACGGTCCCAAAACCGTTACAACAAGTGTTTATGCACTCTTTTTGGAATCAATAAAATAGTTATCTCCTGGCTTTCCTTCTTTCTGTTCTTTCATTTTTGATCAAATAGTTGGCAATTGTATCAATCATTTTAGAGCTCATTAAAAGCATCCTGTTGAATATTTTCATTTCAGACAGGGAGAATATGGATGGTGGAACTTCTTACAAGTTCTGAATCTTTATTTTATTTCTCCTTTACTTTTTTTTTTCTTTTTTTTTCTTACCAAAGATTTATGTCATATGTTTTTTCGTTGTTCATTACACACCCGCAGCATAGTGCGGGCACTCTCTATTGCTAGTTACTTTTGCGTTCTTTCTAATTGTGTTCTTTATATCCAGACTTGAACTGAATTCCCATGACTGCAGCGTTTGTCGTTCTATATTCTGACCCGTGGCAGCTGAAAAACCAACCACGACCCACTCAGGTAGAGCCTTCATCAGATCAATTTGATAAGAAAAACTAAATTCTCTTTAGGATTGCAATTTGTTTGGTAGGCCCGGTACACATTCAAATTCTTTGTAGTAGCATTGTAAGTAATCAATACATCAGCAGGACCTCCATTGTGAAAACTAGCATTCCAAGGTGTGTAGACAGCTGATGCAATGGAGTTGTTGTTTTTTTCCCCACATGTTCAACTGAAGTATCCCATTCAGGGTTTGGAAAAGTATCAAACTCCACCAGAACTATTTGATTCGTAGATGAATCAGATGTTGTAGTATTAAAAAGGCCTAAAAAACCACCCGCTGAATTTGGTGGGATTTGAGATGCCACGGGAGCAAGGAAGAATGCAACCCCATGCCCATAAGTTGATGAACCTTGGGTGTAAATGGTGAAAGTGAAACGGGAGGTGAAGTCAGACATTTTTCCGGTGCTAAGAGTCCCAAAGCCTCACCCTATCAGCATATGTAGCCCAATCAACACGACATAGATAATTGATCTTGTTAAATTCAATCTCTCCAACTGAAGCCGCTGCATCTCAATGATAGAGAATGCCATTTGCAATCGGGTCAAAGCGAGGTATATGAAAGTTGATTGAATTGGGGGAAGGAAGAAGCAAAAAGAAGGAACAAAATATGGGTAAAATAAGTATGACATAGATGGTCATGGCCACGTTCAGAGCAAGGTCATTTAGAGATGCTACTCCTGAAAGTGGCAAGCTAATTGATAAACGATGATGCTAGGATTAGCTTAAATCATGATGATCAAGGCCCAGGTCAACTACCTAATTCAGTTACTACCCTAAAAACTTTGCTGACAAAGAATCATTTCCCAGAAAAATATAAAAAGAACTGCTTGTTTTCCGCAGGCACAGAAGAGTCAACGTTAAATTGAAACAATAACACCAATGATCAGTTTGTGAGATTAATCTGCAACAACTCATATTTAAGTTGGAATCTCTATATTCAAGTGAGCCTTCATGTCGCAACTTTAGACCCTGAACCTATATCAACTTCAGCCAAATGGTAAACCTGATTTTAGTATTTTTCTAAGACATACAGTTGGATCTGTAAACAATTTTTTTAATCGTTTCATATAATTGATCTTGTGCAGCTGACATCTAAATTGAAGCCGAAGTTCTTGGGGAACAGCAATTTCTAAGTACTTGTTTCTTCTAAAATAGCAAAAATAAAAAATAAAAAATAAAAGAGTAGGCTTTCCCACAGCCTGTAAACTATTAATAAGCTAAGTCAAAGATGTTCAGATTAACACTATTACCCAGTTTAATCTTGAAATCTCTATCTTTTCATAATTGTTTAAAGAATTATTTTTTTCCTATAGCCAAAACCTAACAATAAATCATCACAACAGGATCATATTAATTCATTTCTGTGGCGGTACACCTTTTCTCCTCAAATAAAAGTGGCAAATCCCTCCCTCCCCAATCTATCAAGAATATCAATAGATTTAATAAAACAATGAAACAGCAGGAAATAAAAGCTTTAATGGAACCTATAATCTGTCAGTGTTTAATAAGGATATGTTAAGAATGTTCCTTTTGTCTATTAATAAGCATCAATAAGTTGACTTGGAATGTTAGAATTCAATAATATGTGGAGAATCCTTGTAATAATATATCTTTCTTGTTACACCAAAAACCTAATGTTAGCCAGAAACCTGAAAAAGCTTGCTGCCATTCCTTTCAACCACCACCTTCATTGCCTAATTTAAAAAAGGACCTCCATTTTATATAAAGTGGAAGAACATTTTGCCTCAGGGCCATTGGTTTTTCATATTATTTATGAAAGTCCCATATCAAAGAAGCTAACAAGTCAACAATAGGGAACCATCTTCGAAGGCATGATTATGATCAGCCTGATCTATACTCTCCTAAATTCTGATATCTAAGATTTGCACAGAAAAATTTACAGAAAAAAAAAAGAAAAAAAAAAAAGGAAAAGCAAAACATTCATGTTATGCACAGAAGAGTGAAGGTGGAATTTCATTGTCAAAAGCTTACTCTCAAGGTAGAAGCTTGTATGAAGGAAATGACAATTAATTATATAAATTATTTTTACCGAAAAGCAAGATCAATACACAGAAGTACTGCCAGATAAAGACTAGAAAGTAGAAACATATATGATATATATAAAAAAATCCAAATGGATGCGTATAGAAACTTTCATCCAAGATAAGAATTGTCATGAAATCAAATATTTTCTTCCTGTCTTTGTAGCCAAGGAAACACTTTCTTAAGGTTTAACTACTTGGCCTAGACTCATCTTATTTTCCTGTATAATATATTTATGTATAGAATTGACTTGAATCATAATTTTATGGGGGCAAATAACTACTTGGTAATATTTTATTCAGGCTGATAAATAAGTTAATGTTCGGATGGATTCTTGATGATAGTTTGTAACCATAACTATACCTTGATGAGCAGGGAAAGAGAGATTAATTCAAAGAATAAAACTAATACTGTGAACCAAACCTGTTTACCATGTTTCTGAATCAACTCAGGCACATGTATGCAAATATATGCCTCAATCGAGGGCCTGCAGCAGAGTGTGCTTTGTTCCAAGAGAGCATGAACCTGTAATCGGCTATTGGCTAATACTTAGTAATCAACTTGTTTTTTCCTTGCCAAGAATTCAACATATAAACCAAAGTTTTACTCTTGACAGCAGACATTCAATGCAAATCTTTTAATCTATCTTTATGACAGTACAAAAAGTGGTTGACGGTAAAAAAAGTGGTTAAGCAACACAGTAATCGAACTAAATTCCTCTGAATACCTTTATAAATTGTATTTATACATCAACTTAATGTCAAATACTCAATAGTGAATTTAGAAAGAACAAAAATAACAAAGTAGGACTTTACAGAGAAGGCAACTCATGTCTAACGACCCGCTTCAATGCTTGAATAAGTTATTTGAGGTTCCCCAGAGTTCACTGATGGTAAAGGTATATGATACATAGGAACAGGCATCTTGACAGGAAGATTTGGCATCGCTGACTCAAAATTAAGAACTTGAATTGCTTGCCTGATTGAAGGCCTCGAATTACAATCAGGGTGAGCACACCACAGTCCAACAATCATCAAACACTCTGCTTGTTTTTCATCAAAATCCTTGTTCAACTTCTTGTCAACAGCCAAAAGTAGCTCTCCTTTCCCACAAAGATCCCAAGTCCACTCTACCAATCCCATATCAGAATTTCCTCGAGGATTAACAGATTTACTTCCAGTTGCAATTTCTAAAATGACCACTCCAAAGCTAAAAACATCCGACTCCTTACTAGCCCTACCTGTGCTTATGTAATCCGGAGCCAAGTAGCCTAAAGTTCCCGCCACCCCTGTTGTTTTTGGACCTAGCGCAGGGTCCATGAGTTTAGCCAATCCAAAGTCACCAAGTTTGGCGGTGAAACTAGAATCAAGCATTACATTGCTTGATTTAATATCTCGATGCACCACATACTGCTCACACTCTTCATGAAGGTAGAGAAGTGCAGATGCCAATCCAAGAGATATTTTGTACCTTGTAGGCCAAGTAAGGGGAATTCTTCTGCCAAAGAGATGGGAATCAAGGCTACCATTTGGCATCAACTCGTAAACAAGTAAGAAATCATTTCTATCATGGCACCAACCAATAAGTTGCACCAGATTCCGGTGTCTTAACTGGCTAATGACCTTCACTTCAGTTATATACTCCTTTTTCCCTTGTTTGGACCGGCTTGAAATCCTTTTAACAGCAACAGCCATTTCCAAATCAGGTAGGTAACCCCTATAAACTGCACCAAATCCTCCTTCACCCAACTTTCTCTGTTCTGAGAAGTTATTGGTAGCAGCGGCAAGATCAGTATAAGAAAACCTTCTAGGTCCGGCTCCCCTTTCAAGATCTTCATTCATTGATGTCAAGTTTGTTGTCTCTGGTGTTCTTCTTTTCACATGCTTTTGCCGCCACCAAATCATTAATGCTATAACTGTCCCAACTATCAGAACACCCAAAGGAACAACGATGCCTATAACTATTTTGGTATTTCTTGCTGTGTTGCCCCTTGTTTCCCCTTTCACAATTAAATTAGAATTAAACTCCCAAGATTGCAGTCTATGCCGCTCTCCATACTGACCTGTAGCAGCTGAAAACCCAACCATAGCCCACTCAGGTAAAACTTTCATCAGATCAATTTGATAAGAAAGACTTGAATTCTCCTGGGGATTATTGGTTGTCTGATAGCTCCAAGACACACTTAAGTTCTTGGTAGCAGCATTGTAGTTAATGACTACATCTGCAGTATCTCCACTGTGAAAGCTAGCATTCCATCTGACATAGTTTGCTGAAGAGATTGAGTTATTGTTGATCCCCACATGACTACCAACTCCAGGTGGATCCCATTGAGGATTTTCAAATGTGTCAAACTCCACAAGAACAATTTGGTTCTGAGACGAATCACTAGTTGTTGTGTTAAATAGCCCCAAAAAGCCACCAGCTGAATTTGGTGGGATTTGAGACCCAACAGGAGCAAGAAAAAAAGCAATCCCATGACCATAACGTGGACGTCCTTGGATATCAATATAAAAGGAGAAGCGGGTATTGAAGTCAGAGAGTCTTCCTGTGCTTGAGTCCCAGAGTGGCACCTTCTCAGCATATGTTGCCCATCCAACGCGGCATAGATAATCGTAAAGGTTAAACTCAATGGCTCCAACAGAGGGTTTTGCATCACCCTGATAGAGAATTTTGTTTGCATTTAAGTCAAAGCGAGGCATTTGGAAGTTTATTGAATTGGCTGAGGGAAAAGTAATAGGAAATGAAAACAGAAGCCATAATTTAAGTAAGTTGTAGAACCCAGTTTCCATGGCAAGGAAGCAGCAAGGGAGATATGCAGCCTAGCACCATATCAAAGAGAACATGACCTATATCCACAAGTGAAGAAATAGTTAATTTGATGCTGAAGTTTCAATCACCAGCTTTAGTCTATGCACCAAGCAAGCTTCACTGAAAGGGAACCATTTCCCTGAACCATACAGATAGAAAAGCTGCATTGTGAGCCTATTGCCGACTGAACATTGGAATGGTTTATAAAAATAAACCATCAACAAATCTATCTTCCAAAAAGAAAATATATGATTAGGTAGTTTAGAATGTGGTGCATCTCATATAGATTTAATTATTGATAAATAAAATTAATTTTGTATTAATTTTATTCATATTTTAAATAACTATATTTAAACAAAAATAATTATCATATGACAAATGATCATAACTATTTGAATATAAATATATTATTCATAAAGTAATTATTATACAAAAGGTCATAACTATTTTAATAAAAGTTTATGTCTATTCATTAATTATAAATAAATCTTTTAGTATAATTATTTTAACTACTTTTACTTGGAAAGTTTTGAGATTTTGTTGTATCTTAAAAGCATAATTATATTTAAAAAAGTATTTTTCACGCCTCAAAGTCAAAATTTTTTTCTATTATTTCTATGCTCTTATTTGTTTTTCTAATAATGTAAAGGCAATTATGAGAAATTCGTATTCCGCATATGGAAGATATAAAGAAAAGAAATTGAATATGCATGGAAAATTTTAATTACCCAAATGATTTCTTGATGAAATAAGTACTAAATACAAGATAAGTTTTTCATTACTATCTTTCTAGTTTTTATATTCTACTAAAAGAATTAATCATTAATAATTCATTGGAAACTTGAGTCTCATTGAATTTTGCTTCTTTATTAACTATTCTTTTAATATATTGATTCTGAATTAAATTATTTAATTGAAAAAAGATTTATGATTTTATGGTATGTTATATGTGGATTTTCTTAGTCATGATATTGAATGGTCATGAGCATAAAATGAACATGAAGTACTTGCTAGCTTTGGTTATTAATCTTTTATAGGCTTGTTATATTTTGGTAAGACCATGGTTATGAAATCAAAATGATAAATTTTTTAGAATTACGTTAAGGCATAAAGAAATTATGAATTTATAAAATTTTTTAAAAAAAGAAGCAAGTATGTGTTCTTATAATAAAATCATATTTTATGATCCATATTTCATGATTGTATTTTATTAACAAGAGAATAATGTGTGATTCATATTATTTACTTTATATAATAATGTTTCAATAAGAAATAAACATATTATTGCTATTTGTTGGGTGGAAAGTTTCATGTATTTGATAATTTGGACATAAACTTTATATATAATATTGTGTTGTTATACATGAAATTATGGTTGTTTTTAATGACATGAACCATATATGGTGGATATGACTTTAGTACCCATAATAAAATAATTTTACAGGTATCCATAAGTTAGTATAAAAGTCTCAAAGGAGACTATAAAAATCATGAGTTTACTAAAAGAAAATAATTTTGAGGATGATTATGTTTGGCATCGTACTTATTGATGTGTACTCTCAAATTAAGTTAAAATATAAAAGTTTTGAAACTTTTATTAAAAGAAAATATTAATATATAGAATATTTACTAGTTATCTTTTACTAAAGATGGATTTACAGGCATCCTACTTAAAAAAAAAAAAAAAAAAACCACCAAGAAGTGAAAAGATAATGAAATGATAACTTGATTAAGTATATATATAATATCTTGATAATTAAATGGGATAATTTTTTTATAAAAGAATGCATATTTGCACATGGTGGGAGTGATAAAAATAAAAATAAATAAAAAATTTCTACTGTAGTGTTTTAAAATTTTAGTATAATTTTATGAGCAGATTATACAAGCTAATAAGTTTAGTACACTTATTAAAATCATAAAAAAAAAGTCCTTATATATCTTAAACAGAATAAAATCGTTTGGTCTATCCATTCAGTTTATCAAATTGAACTAGAATAGTTGAAATTTTATATTAATGAATATAGAGTTCTGGTCACAACTAATACCATTTGTTTCTTAACATAACAAGAATAAGGCAACAATATCTAAAGCATATAAATGATATGTAAAATTAAAAGTTTAGATATATTAGCCTAAAGTGATTATATTATATATTCAATCTCAAATTGGGGTAATTACCATAAAAAAATTGAATTCCAAGATATTTTATTAGTAGTACTACAATTAGAATAAATTTACATCCTTATTATTAAACAGCAATAATAGGAACTTAATTTTGAATTAGTAACCTCTAATTATAATGTTTAATGAGTAAAAACAAATTATTATTATATATTTGTTAAGAACTAGTAAAATCAATTTAAATTTTAAAAATTAGTGTGATCCATTACATAAGAAGGATGAATTTTTATATTTTTAATGGAGTTTATTATTTAAATGTCTAAAGTAATGGATGTATAATGAAAATTCAACCTATATAAACTAAGAAGTGGTATCGCTTCAACAAAAATGATTAAGGTCTCTCTTATAAATGTTTATAAATAAGATAAGCATATGACCATAACAGTATTAAAATGATTATAAACCTCTGATAGAAGAATAAATAAGTACTATGTGTATTATATATTCAATTTTAATATTAAGAGTTGAGGTTTAATCTATGGACATTATCAACTTTATTATAATTCTAAAATATATACGTTAATTGAAAGTTTAAATTAAAAGATACCTTATTATATTTATAAATATTTATTTGTATGAAAGGTTAAAAATTAAGTACCAATATTCTAAACTAGCAAGAAACTAGCAATGGATTGTTAGTAGTTTAGAATATGATGCATTTCACATTGGATAGAAATATTTAATTATTGATAAATAAAATTAATTTTGTATTAATTTTATTTGAATACAAACAATTATTATATGGTAAATTATCATAACTATTTGAATATAAATAGATTATTATTTTTAAATATCATAATTATACAAAAACTTATAACCATTTGAATAGAAGGTTATCACTGTTCATTAATTATTAATAAAATTTTCAATATAATCACTTTTCTTATTTTTGTTCAAGAGAGTTTTGAAACTTTATTATATTTTAAATATACAATTACCTTTAAGAATATTTTTTACGTCTTAAAAGTCAAAATATTTTTTTATTATTTTTATTCTCTTATTTTTTTCTAACAATATATATTTAAAACTTCTTGCTTCCAGGGTTCTAAATTACATATAAAACATGCAACTTATGACAGAGCTCAGGAAACTATAAAATTCCAAAAGGCAGTATCGATTTTCCTCCTATGTTTTAACATGATTGGATCATCAGCTGAGGCGGTTGAGAGTAAAGACATGTCAACTAGAATAAAGAGATGATAATAAAGAAAACGTTAGAAGAGATCATCTTAATTTTCCTTTAATCTAATAAAGTTGACTCTGATCAATAACTTACATAGGACATTATGATCAAAAATAAAAATACTTACATATGACATTGAATTGAAATTATAATATTGGAAAAAACTGAATTATTCCTGTTTGTGGTTTCTTTTCTACAGGAACATTGATTAAAGACATCTGGGTGTTTTTAGAATGCTATATACATACTTCGCTGAATTAATCAAACGTAATAAAAATTTAAACGACAAAAATTTTAGTACGCATAAACTGGAAGAAAGAAGTTCATAAGGAAGAAAACTCACCCAAGTAAAAGAGCAATGGCTGCTGCAGCAACAAGGGAGGATTGGTTTGTGGAAGCCTAAATCTTCAACATCTATACTTACAAATAAAAGTGTCCCTAAACGCTTTCACATTCTAATTATATGGACACCTATTTTATACCTTAAAAAAAATTAAAGGGTACATTTGAGGATATTAAGAAAAATCATAGAAGAACAAAGAAGAAGAACAGTGAAAATTTTATTATTATGTTAAAAAAAGTCCAAATTTATTGAAAAGGTGGAAAGAAAGATTATCGGTGGAAAAGGTAATAGGGGTTAATGGGAACGTGGCCTTCCTTTCTTTTCATTTTTTCCAACCATTTAGAATAAGAAAAAGAAAGATATTGGTTTGTTGGCCTTTCTTACTTAACCTTTAATCGGGCTTGGTCCTTGCTTTTTTTACTTTTTAATTCAAAAAAAAAAAAAAAATTGGCGAAAGGATGTAAGAGGAAGGCCATGTCCACTTTTTTTTAAAAAAACAAAATCCATTATTTTATTTTTTATTAGAGGATTCTTTTATACAAAAATATTATACAAAGAATTGTACTTATTATTTTATTTAATAAAAAATAAATTTTACACTTAATTTTTGTTTTTAATTTTCAAACACAAAATTTATATGTACAAATATTAATATATTACCTGTAGTTAATGTTCAAATAAAAGATGATCAATAAAGTTTCTTAAAAAATAGTTGGAACTTTAAGGGTACCAGAATAATAGTTCAATCAAAATGTAGTCTTTTTTTCATCAAAATAAAAGTCTTAGTAATTTATTCACAGTATATCCTCAAAAAAGAAAAAAAAATTAAAAACAAATGAGAAACAAGGATTAGAAGGCATACATTCCCCTGTTTAGAGGGGCATAATGTTTATTCTCTTGGGTATATTTTTGGACTATCGTTTTTTTTAGGATATACGATGAAGCATTAAGACTTTAATTGAATTTTTTTTTTTTTTTTTTTTTTTTGCTAGAAGACTTTACTTGATTTCAGATCAATAATATTGTATTTGTAAACGTTCGATACAAAAATGATGGTTATTAGACAAAAGATAGTGGAAGGAGCCACCCAAGTCAACTGGTGGTGGACCCTCCCCCGGCTGTGGCTGCATTAAGACGTAGGTATTGACCAAATGCACCAATCACTACGGCATTTAGTCATCATTAATACCATGTAAACGGATGGAATTTTTAACGAATTTTTTATGAATATGTTCAATTTTTATTTGTTTATATTCATTTATTAATATTATAAAAAAAATTTATATATCGACATTTAATTGTATTAACGGTCAAATTACATCAATAAAAAAAATTTATATTGATAATTTTTTAATATCGTCAAAATATATCATGTTTATATTAACACTTTATACAATTATGAATATAGATAAATTTTTTTTATGATAAATAACTATTCATCAGTATAAATATGTTATATACTGACACTTAACTATACTAATGATCAAATTATGTAAGTAAAAAATCTATATTGATGAATTTTTGTTACTGTCAATATAAACGGTGCCTATACCAACCATTTATTCTTCGGTCAGTGTATATTAATTTTTTTCTGACAGTTTATAAATAATCATTAGTATACATGTTAATATATTGATGTATTGTATTTTAACTATAGGTATAAGTTCTAATGCACTAAATAAGTTGTCTCTGCAGAACATGAAGAAAAAGTCAATCGAAACTTTCAAAGAATATGTACACAGATAAAAAGATATAGCAGCCTAAGTACAATCACCCTTGTCAGAGAAACAAGTTGTTATTCTGTAATACCCGAAAAAAAAAAAAAGAGATTATTTTAAGTATTTTTATAAGTGGGGGGACTCTTTAATAAAGAATGAGAAGTGCAGAGAACTTATTGATAAATAACCTAAATTTCTTTATTAATAGAGTTAACTTTTCAGTTTTCAGTCGACGATTAGTCGTAATAAAAAATAGAAACTTATTTCTCATATGTTTCTTATACAGAATAGATCAATTGAAGGATTCCAAGTGAAAGGAAGAACAAATCTACAAGGAAAAATTATCTGTTAGAGGTGAGTAAATAATCTTTTTCAATTTTTAGAGTATTGATGGTTAAGTCTTAAGGTGTAAATTATAATCGAGAAACCCTAAAATTTTAGGGTTTCCATTATCCCTCTTTGGGCAGATGATTTAGACTTTAATTAGAGTCAAGTTAAGTGTTGAGAAAGTTGGTAATGTGAATTTATTGTTGAAACAGAAATTTGATGGGAATAGAAAGGAAAATCTTTGTTTCATATAAATCCTGATATGAATCATGTGTTTGTAGTGATGAATTAAGGTTATATTCTGTATTAAAGGGTTAAATACTACTATGATTGCTGTATATGGTTGGAAAGCATGTTGAATCTACTTTCTAATGAAACAAACGGGAGTCGAATTCGAGTTCCCTATGAAAAGTTATCCAATTTTTACCTAAGGAGGTGCAAGCTGCCTAGTAGCAGCAGTAAGGGGGAATTACGAAATTTTCCTAAATTTTTATACAAGGATTTACAGTTTAAGCCATAAATTTTTGGAAAGCTTATCGAGTCTACTTTCCAATGAAATAAGCGAAATTGAATTTGGAGTTACCTATGAATAAATACGTAATTTTTATGAAAAGGTATACAGGCTGTCTGGCAGCAGCATATGACGTGGATTACAAAAATTGTTATAATTAATCCACAAAGAATCACGAGATGGACCATATATGGTTAGAAAGCTTGTCAAGTCTAGTTTCTAACGCATTGATAATATTTTAATTCCGAATTGGATATCTTGAGTTATGGTCATTTTAGTGAAAGTAGCGCAGACTGCCAGAATTAATTACTCGAGTTATTACTTGTTTGACTTAATTGTTTTGGTATAAGTGGCCTCAAATGGGTTGATTAATTATTGTTATGTTGGAATTATCTTGAATAGGCCACTAAATTTTGAGGGAGAAAAATTAGGTGGTGGAATCAGAAGAATGTAAGTAGAATCTCACACACTTTGCTTGTTTTCGAATCTATGTATATATATGTTTCTAAATGAAAGAATGTTTTATTTCATTATTTTCAGTGTATGAAAATAAGATCAAGCATATGATTATTTTGTGTTTTCGCTATGTAAATGATGGATCATGCTTATGAATGAAATGAGAGAATGATTTATGTTTAAAGAATGATTTTATGATGGCTACGTTTTTACATCCCTGGGAAGTGGGATCATCGACACCAGAACTAGTTCTACGACCCTGGCTAACGGGTAATAGTAGTTAGCAAAAACATGATCATACGACCCTGGCTAACAGGTAATAGTAGTTAGCGTAAGCCCTGGCTAACGGGTTATAATAGTTAGCAATGATCATGAGAATGAAATTGTCGATACGGTCAATGTCACGGGTTATAGCAGTGACCGTAGCTAACGATTTGAATGATGATAATGATTTACGATAATTTTTAATGATTGATCCATGATTTGGTTTGACTACGATATTTGAATGATAACATATTTTATAATGATTTATGAATTTATGAAATGTTTGACAGAACGATGATATTGAGATGTTTTGACATTATGATTTGACAAATGTTTTGAATGATTTATATGATGTGTAAGAAAACGATATTTGATCCGGTAAGGTGTGTGAGCCTTTACTTACTGAGTTGTGGTTTGCTCATTCTCTATTTTCTTTTCTTTTACAGATGTTATGAATGATAAGTATGATTAGCTTGAGAAAAGCTAGAAGAATCGAGCATTGGAGAACTACTTAGAAATATAAGATTTTATGAAGTATTGTTTATTTTAGTTGTAATACTCTACTTTGAACCTTTGGAGACTTGTTATCTAGCTATGTTACTTAATGAGAACATTTTATATTTGAGAGTTGTTCAATGGTTATGGATTAGGCTTCGTATTGCTTTGGGGTTTTACTTCAAGGTAATATGGCCGTGTTATGCCTATATTCGGGGCGTGACATATTCTATTTGTCAATTCTTTGAACACTCCCTATTATGAAAAAATGATCTGTAATGTCTCCAAAAACTTTACTAACATGGTGATTTCCGACGAGATTATAGAAAATGCAATCAAGAATAGCAAGATTAATTTGAAAGATGCAATAGATGTTGAAAAAGAAAGTATATTAGAATAAAATAAAGGAGAGGTGCAAGCAGTCACAATTGAGGGGCATTTACCCAAGAGCTTTATCCCGTACAATCTTTATCCTTTTCATCAACCTCATTACTTTGTCACAAGTAGTATCTTTCAAAACCTATATCTTTGCCAACCAAGCCAGCATTTGGGCTTTTCAACAAATTCTCATTTTTAAATGACTATTCATGATCTTGTCCCTATACTTGAACCTACTACCTGACTAACAAAGAACAGAAAGAGACCAAGGAATGATTAAGAAAAACTACCAATCCCTAATTTTCACCTTTTGCCTTTACTAATAAAAGATTGGTATCTTACTCCTGTGCCTTCAAAAACAACACTATATCTATCAACAATGAGTTATGATCTTAATGGCAAATGTAATTATCATATGAGGGCAATCAGTCACTCAACTAAAAAATACAGATAGTTGAAGGAAAAGGTTGAAAATCTATCAAAAGTGGTATTCTAACTCCAGAAGTGATAGAACAATAGAAGTTGACTCTATCCAATTACAAAATGAAATGAGTTGAAATGTGAAAGAAGGTCACGAATGTTGAAAAATCAAGATAGGATGATTTTTTTTAATCTTTTCACCATTTATGTATGATATGTGCATGGTGTCCCTAAGAGTTATCTAACTTATTTTAGAAGAATTGAATGTTTTGGATTTTTCTATGAAATTTTCTCTTTATGCATTTGTTTGAATAAAAGTCTCACATAACTAATTTTCAAAATCATTAAAAAACAAAACACAAAACAAAACCAAAAAGGGAGGGAAGAAAAAGAAAAAGAAAAAGAAGTTTTCTTTTGCAATAAAAGATTTTCAAAGGAAATAGTGATTACAATTAAGAAAAAACTCACCTTTTCAAATACTTTCATGTCTTTAATCACTTAAATGATTTGACTCATTAACCAAAACCCTTCAGAGAATGTAAGTTTGAATTTATACTTGATATTGTGACATAAAGGGTGATAATCTTTTCTTGGGCAATGAATAAAAAGGTCAAATTTAAAAATTGATCAAGTAAGATACTCTTTCAAAATTTTAACTAATAATTTAAT